GAAGAAAGAGAGTTCAGTTGTTTTTGTAAGGAAAAAAGTCTATTAATGATAGATAGCCAATATACAGCTGAAGTTGCTTGAAGAGTATACAGGGTGCGCCAAAAAAAATTACCCCTTTTTGCAATGCTTTTTCTGTACCTTTAGAATTCAGTTTTCGCTCCAACTTTTTTTGCAATAGAGAGAGCTGAGAAAAAGCTACTAAGTAGAACTGTTCATATTTTTGAAAAGATGTCACCGTGAATGGAGACTAAAAAAGATTCATGAAATATGAAATCCGTGCTGGAACAAAATGATCTTTCCCGTATTTTAACCTTTTTGTAAAAATTCAATAACTCAACGACGAAACACTATTTTCACCTCAAATTTTCAGAGTGTATTTATAAGCGTTCACAGTTTAAATAGCACATAAATCACTTAGAATTATTGATACTATTATAGAAATGTTCATAGAGCAACAGTATTCCATATTTTCCATAAATAAATGTGTCGTATCAGTTTCGTTTTTTTATCACGTGAATTAGCTTTAATCACGATCAATTATGTTCAGTAGATACAGCTTTTAAATGGCTATAGGAATATGCATAAATCATTGATAAATTTTGGTTCCTTAATAAGAAAGACGAAAAGTATAATGAAGAGGCATGCAACGTCAATTAGCTTTAAATTTTGATGATCTTGTGAAAAGAAAAAAGTTTTGGAAAAAAACTAAAAAATAATGCACAATTCCTTTTTGCGTTAATAACTTACTAAGAACTCTACAACCACAACAAACTTCAAGCCAACAGCAATTGTCTACCGATTTTTTTTTCCTTCCTGGTGAAGATGTGCTGTTCCAGCACGGATTTCATATTTCATGACTCTTTTTTAGTCTCCATTCACGGTGACATCTTTTCAAAAATATGAACAGTTCTACTTAGTAGCTTTTTTTCAGCTCTCTCTATTGCAAAAAAAGTTGGAGCGAAAACTGAATTCTAAAGGTACAGAAAAAGCATTGCCAAAAGGGGTAATTTTTTTTGGCGCACCCTGTAGCCGGTAGATATTGAAACATTACAAATATTACAGTTGAAATAATTTCTATCAAGTTTAAAATAATAGTATTGAAAATGAGAACATTCTGAACTGCTTTTATGGGTAATAAATGAAACAGACGCTTTGGCATATAGGACGAGAAGATGCTGTCAGAAGAAATGTCAGTGTCGGACGTGTCATATATTACAATTAGGGTTGTCAGTTGTAATGATCTGTATAATAAACAGTTTACTTCACATTATTTATTTTAGTAAAACTTTAATGTGTATTTTTCTTTACTTTCCTTTTTTTTTCGTCAGGCAAACGTGATATATATACATTTTTACATTCAACTTCTACACTATGGAATACATCCACATAGAGAAAGTATAGGAGAAAAGAGTACGAGTCTAAATGTTAAGAAATATTATTGAAAATAAATACACTGCTGATGTCATTTGTACACTTTTAGCGTGTGAGTTCCTATGGCTTTCTATCTTTAGAGTTTGTCCATTACACAAGATGTTTTTGTTTTAGAAAGCTGACTGCTGCATTAGTCTAACTCATATCATTCTGTTTTTTTCAGTATTGAGTATGCTAGTAACAGTGGCTGTGTGAATTTGGATTCTAGATCTGGAAAACAATTTCATGAAGTATGAATACGTAAAAATATCAGACATGTGCGCAAATTAATAACAGGATACGGGACATTTTGAATTTCTGTCTTGTCGTTTGGAGTTTTCTAAACGAAGACAGCGCAATTGAATATTTGTAAAATTGTGGTTTTTACTAAGTTTAGCATCAGTCATAAAAAGGGATGATTGAGCGTATTTTTCTATGTTCATATCTTCTGACTACAGAAAGTTGACCGTTCTCTGCAATAACAAAAATCAGTATGTAAACTTTATTTTTTCTCAGACACAAAAGAAAAAAACTAATGACAAACTATAAGGTATGAGAGAGAAAAAATAAAAACAACTAGTCTTTACAATGATATATGAAAAACAGTATTCAAAATTTGACGAAAATTGACATGCCTTTGAAACGGAGACAATCAAGTTTCTTTTAAATACAAACTTTCGAACATTGAGGCTACTAGTTCGCTCACTAATACCTCCCCGAACGTCTGTGTATATATAAACATGATTAAATCTCCGTCCATGCTAAAAACCGAAAAAACGAAGTGATCATGATGTCTATTGACTAATTCAAGTGAGATGTTGTTATTCTCCAGGCATCGTTTGATGTACTGGCGTCGTCTTGTTGGTCTCGAATGTATACATATGTAAATAAATCCAGCAATTGATACAACTGAGACAAACACGAGCCATAGCCAAATAATAAAGAAGACCTCTGCATTAATTTTGTTTATCGGCATGATGCATTGTACTAGTGTGTCTTGAATATGATCTCCTAAACGAAATTACGAAATAAATTTTTGAAATCTCAATCAAAGCAAAAAAACATACGTTGCCGTCTCAATTGAAAATTGCATAATACGGCGATCGGAAATCGATTTCTAATTTCGAAATCTTGCCCATGGTATAAATCTATGATTACATTGAAACCGAATATAGAGAATGATGTGCCGAGAAGAAGATTGAGTAGAAACATTTGACCGATCGAATTGGCAATCGTGAGAAGTTTTGCCAAAATATAATATAAAATCAATGAAGCACCCTGATTACATGGTGAACACCGGTTGAGTAATTTCTTCACTCTACTTTCTCTTTCCGGTACGAACGAACGTCGTTGAGATAGTAGCAGCGCTTTAATGGTGTATGTAGCCATTTCATATAAATGGGCTTTACGAGTTTGCCCTAAAAGAACAAAATTCTAGCTGCTGATGTTTAGTTTGAGAATTTGCCTGATTAAAAATACTTACCAGTGGTCTGGTTGATCGCTGCAACTCGTTCGCGAATGAAAGAAACATTTAATCCGTTCGTTGATGAGACAGTTGTCCAAAAAAAAGTTGGAGTAGAGAAGAGAAACATCATGACTAACAAAATCAATGGAATCCGTTGATGGTAAGGCCTATAATTGAGAAGAAGCTTTTGATCCTGTATATATGCACAAGAAAGACTCAGATGTTTCAAATTCGCACTTACGTGATAGCATCTACCGGAGAATTTAGTGATTTGTCGATGCTGATATAAAACGTACAGCTAGACCAACAATGAGCTTCGATTAATCGTCGCAAATCATGATCGTGGAAATCATCACTATAACAAATAATTGGCCGAGTAGACCATAGACACGACGTTAACACGATAAGAGCCGATCTCAACAGTAAAATACTGTATCTTCGATTTAATTTATCGCTGAGATCTTCTGGTATTGCTGAGTTGAATTTATCCTTCCAAGTTTCTAATAATACGAATTGCATGTTTGAATGCTACAGAAAGAGCATAATATTGATTATAAGCTTTGTTTGAGTGTATTGACAGTTTTTGGAGCTTATGTGAATTCCTAATATCGAGAGAACTGTACTATTACTAATGTGAAACAGTAAAATCAAGAGGATCTGCATATAGGTCGACAAATCTTGTCAAATGATCTTGCAAGATCTTGTGTGGTCTTACAAGATCATATAACAAGATTTCATATGATCATATAAGATCTTGCAAGAATGTGTGATAGGAGGAGTATTATAGTGTTCTATAAATTTCCTTTAGCTCCTCTTAAAAAAGTATCTTTCTCTAGTCATAATATTTTCTAGCATAGGTAAGACACAAACGTCCTTAGAATCGTGTCTAACCACGTTACTTATAGCTATGCACTTTATTTGATGTGTCAACTTGTAGACAGAAAAAGTTTTGTTATAAGAACTATATTATATATACATATGCATATATTCCATGTCATGGCAAAATTTACGTGGTAAGAATGAGTAATCGCTTCTTGCAAGATCTTATAAGATCATACGCTTTCGTGTTACAAGATTTCACAAAAAACGGCAGATCTTGTAAGATGAACTCCACCTGGGTAGGAGTTCTGTAGGAGAATTGTGATTGACGTGAATGTAAATCTGTCTAAAGCAAACTGAGGTCAGGGAAAGGATAAACGATATTTATATTTATATATTTATATATAGATATTTACATTATACTACCTTTAACGTTTGTGTTGAGAAAAGGTTGAATGTTAGAAATTTATGGTAGTTGTATAATATACACTTCCTAATATGGTAAATCAGTATTTTTCTTCAAATTAGATTACTTTCTTATATACTTCTTTCTGATAACCCAGAATGCAGTATGAATGAGGATACAAAATTTGTTTATTTTTTTAATGTAATTAGAATGATGATTTATTAAACTGACACTGGTAGAAAAAAAGTAAATTTCATTATGTGGGTAAAGAGATGGTCAAGATAAGAAATGCAAATGGAGCATAGTTTGATAATAGTCGCGTACGTTGTAGTACTCTAACGTAATTGTTAAATAATATTAATTTACACGATGTATTCTCAGAAGATATACCATCGTAAGCTGACAATTTTGTCTTAAATTTTTAAAGTGAACCGATAGGTGATCTAATTGCCTCCTTTAGCCCACAATGAGATTTCAGATCAAGCTGCAACTTTAACTGTTTATGGATTATCTTCGTCAGTCGCAGAACCCACTTTGAATGCTGTCCTGAGTCAAATAGCAACGAATTTGCGTCAAGATAGCGAAAGTGGCAATGAGATTCAGTTTCATGATCAGAATCGCTATTTATAGCCGAAAACGGCGGTCTCTTCTAATATAGAACAAGATTTCTGCCTTATTAGTATTCATGTACAGAACTAAAATTCTTGCTGTTTTTTCCGCACCATCTATACTATTTAGATCAACATCGGAAGACAAATGTAAATGTCCCACAGATGATGAACTTGTTTCAGTAAGAAACCGTTTGTTTAAGTAACAGAAGTGAATATATTTTTGTTTTGGCAAAGTTCACCTGAAAGCAACGACGTTGATGCAACTGTACATGTCCCTCGTCTGTGTCATATGCAATTGCGTCCCACTTTCCAAGCTTATGGTTTTTGGCTGAAAAAGGCTAATAAAAATACATCTGATTATCACATCATAAGTGATGTTTTTGACAATACACCGACTCAAGCAGCTGGTCTAAAAGTGAACGATGGAATTATAGAAGTTAACAATGAAAATGTAACGAACCTAGATCAAGCTGAATTAAAACAACGCTGCATACAAAAAACAGGATCTAATGAGTGTACTTTACTGGTTCTGGATTCAATTTGCAACAAAAGATTATCGAAAATTAATGTAACAAGTTCGGATAAAAATGTCATTCATTGCGGAGTACGAGCGATTTCTGGTTAGTGTTGTAGGCAATTGTTAGCCAGAATTGGTTTGAATAGTGCTTTTTGTGTGTAGAATTAAACACTGGTAACATCCAGAATGTAGAAAACAGATCATCAATGTCTTCATCGAATAATTATCTTCTGTCAATGTTTCGACCACCTAAACTGATGACACTGAAAAAAAGCGACAAGCCACTGACGATACATTCTCAGTCAGCTCCACCCAGCGGAAATTATTTGCTTTCACTCTTTCGACCACCAAAGAATCCGAGGTCGACTGTTGCCATACCGCAGTTAGCTTTCGCTGTGAGTGCACCAGTACATCAAGAACCCGTTTCACAAGGACACTCACAGAGTCAAATATTTCGTCCTGCAATGACTACAGTTGTTTATGCGCCTAGTGCATCACCTTCGACTACGAAACCAAAAGAGATTAAGCTCAACGTGAGTAATCCATCTGTTAATCTGATAGAATCTTTCTCACTTGTCCAAGTAAGACGATTGTCACAAAATCGTCAGCCGAAACTGCGCCTCCTTGTCTTCAGGTGATTTACGTATGGGACAGAGCAGGCGAAAATGGAATTTTGGGTCGATTTAGCAAATTGAACTTGTCATCTTTCGTTCTATATTGTTTATTTGTGGTTATTTGCATTTTCAACATTTCAGGAGAAGCCTTCAACTTTGCGCACACAGTTACATTTACAGAAAGGAAGTGCAAATAAAGTGTATACCGAGTCCATGATAGACTTTGACCTGCCAACACGAAAACCAGATCTATCATTTGCTGCTGACGAAACGGTATCGGGTGAGTAAATCTCCAAGTGAATGGCATTTTTCTTTTAAACAGACATTAAGATTCTGCTTTTGCTTTTTATGATTGTTCTCATGCAGAAAAAGAGACTTTTAATCGTGCTAGCGAAAAGGCGATGTGGGTGACCGACGAAGAAGTATAAAACGTTAATACTGATGTTTTTTCAAAACGTTTTCTTCATGTAGGCACGGTTGATATGTGAATGAGGCGGAATGGCTGAGCCCCAATCCTCTGTGCGTCAAACAGGACCGAACTGATCCTCACTACATCCTGAAAGCCACTAACGACAAAGCGATCTTACACCGAGGATACTCACATTTGTGAAGACATCAATCCTTGAATGCATTTTGTCACTTCTATGTATTTGTATTTTGAGATCTTAGTCACTTTTTACACAGGAAGATACCTTAGAGTTGGTGCATATGTGGAAAAGATAACTAGCCTTGATTTCATACACTGATTCAAGAAGAATAGTTCCACTCTATGACTATAGAAAAGTAGAACGGATTTCTTACTTTTAGCTTCCTCTTTCGTCCTCTAGAAAATTGCTGTGTACCTTGTAATGTTGTAAAATAAATTAGTTTCAAGTAGATCAGAAAACACACATACACGCCCAAAAAACCGCAGAGAAATCGTCTTTATATTACGTTAAAAAAAGGACGAAGCACATGTATCTTGTCATATAATAGTCACTTTTTTTTCGAAAACACTGTTATACTCAATACACATGTATACATGCTCAGTTCGTTATAGTCATCATGTCGCAAAATAATGTTTAGCTTAAAGAAACTCTACCACATTAGACAAAAAAGATTATGTATCACATGAGTAAATGTGACTTTCTTGAGCACAAAGTCATGTGATTGAGAAAAACTCTACTGGTACAGACCTTCCTTCTATAACATTTGACTTAGACACTTAAAACCTAATGTTCATTACAGAAACGTTCTTTACTACAATAGTAACGAAATATTTTTTATTAGATCTCAAAAGCTACTTTAGGCGCCTTCAGAGCATCAGTAAAATTAGACAACCCATCAACAAAATCCATGTTAAAAGAAAAGGCATGTGGGTTCATCTCATTTATTTTTATCACTTCAGCAACAAAGCAAAACAATTAACAGCTTCGATACAACAGCAGAAATAACAATTCTTTTATCCATTTTCTTATAACGGTCTATTTATAAAAAATGCGTTCCCATTCGTTATTTCATCAAGCAACAAAAGAATATTAAATGATAGATGGCGTATTGCCTTTTTTTTCATCTTTTACTATACCTATTTACTCGCTACATCTTCTATTTTCATTAACTAAGTATTATATGCAATTTATCTCATTTAATAATGTAACTTTAATTAAAAAAGTTACTTTTTCGGCCGCCATATTGGCCTCTTCCATATTTTTTCTTTTGGCAGCTAGCTTTTTGTATCTGCTGAAGTTACCTGCTATTGGCAGCTGTTATTGGCAGGTAACTTCTTTCAAGCCCTTATTTTCTGTAATCGGTTATTACTATGCAACTAATGGCGCTATTGCTTTCTTGACAGCCAATCAGAAAGCAACTAAGAGCCATACGGGAAAATTTTGCTTAAAGAATAGAGGGGCTATGATCGAAATTAAATGGAATTTGGGTTTGATGAAAGTTTCACGAACGCTGATTTATTTTGCTAAAATTTTAATGGTATATATCGTTCCGTTGTACGTTGTGCGGTTCAAAGATTGTTTTTTTTCATATGTGTTTCTTGCGTCTAAACAAAACGTCCCAAATGAAAAGAAGACATAGATATCTTCAATCAAATATATCTATATCTTCTCGCCCCAACGTGTCCGTCATTTATAGATATAAATAGACATCTAACAAACATGGTAAATGTAAAAAAATGTATTGCATTTTCTTACATTTTACATTTCTTCTCAGCTGATCTAAAACTCTCTGTTTTAGATCAGCTGATGTAATATATTTTTTTACATTTCCCATCTTTGTTAGAAGTCTAAAGTGTATCTGATGTATATAACTTCTTTCACATTCAGAAAAAGTTAGAAAGTATATACAGTTATAAGAAACATGTTCTTTCGTTTTAGAAGATATTTATGTTTTTATTTTCAGTCTAAAAGCCAACGAACAAAAAGTCGTTCGGAAAGTGAAAAATAAATTTGGAAAGGAATTGAGTAACGACATTATGTGAGAAAGGATCAAAATATAGGTTTCCAAGTTAGTTTGAATTTATGAGCTTTAGAAAATGCTTCTTTCACAAGTTAAGCAGTAGTACCGTGTTACTTTTGATACTGAATGAATGTTATAGAGGGTCTTAAGGAGATACCATGTCGATAATGGTTGACTTCCCTTAGATTCCATTGTTTTTTGTTGGCTTTTCAAATTCAGCTGACTGCATAGAGCACAGAAGCTTAACTTGTGAAGGAAAGGTTTGCCCAACAAAATATCTCAGGAACAGGTTCTCTACTTTAAATACTCTCTCTTGAGCCTAATGTCGCCAAACTTTAAGTTTTTGGATTGAGGCCAAGTTTATTGTATGATGGATTTAAGCGTTGGGCATCAGACTGTTTCATTTGAAACGAGACGCGAAAAATGAGCCGATATAATAGTGGCCAGCGAATGAAACATCAATGCATGTTGATCGAGAATTTGTAAGTATTATTAGCTGTCATCAAAACACATTCAAATGACGATGAATAATTGCAGTAATTTAAAATGTGTCAAACAATGAGAATATTTCGACGATAAACTACGACTTAGAAATGTGCGAGATCCAGTCTTTTTAGTCCCTGTAACTCTTATACAATTTCCATCGTGATCTGAAGATAATTCTTGCAAAATGTACAATTGGATCTTATAATCTACCTTTTATAGATAGATCAGATAACTTTCAGATGGTTCTGTAAGTTTCTGTTAAACGAGATGTCATCGTCCACATATTAAAACACTTTTTATCTTGAATATTATATTCATTAATTTGTTTTCAAACTAGTCAACATCAGCATCATTAGATGAACACGTTTTATCTAAAACAGATCCTTAATTACAATTTCTCCAAGTCAAACATGAAAAAAAAGAACGTGAGAGAATAGATGATAAAATTTTTGTGTATTATGACATGATTTTCTGTTCTTCTATTTCAGATATTTTAAAAGAAATTAAGCCAGTTTGCTCATTTCGATGAAACTTTGTTAGAAAATAATATCGCTGACAAAAGATACAACGTTGTAAGTCACCATCTCTGCGTTAGTTTAATAAATCATTTCTTCATCTTGTTGTCTTTGTTTTAGGTCAAAATAAACTTGAACGTTATCTATCTGTATGTACTGAAGAATTTCGATATTTTCGTGAAAACACAAACAGTGAAAGCGTATCTGCGATTCATCCATTATTGAAATTAGTGGCATTCAGATGAGAACGCACACAAATGACACGCGCTAAAAAACCACGCACTAAAATGTAATGCACTCAAATGAGACGCGCTGTGGTGAAGCCACCCCCTCTGTATTTATGCTGCTCACTAAGGAGAATGTTAAAATCATTATTCGTTCGTAATCATATGTCTGACTATTTCATAATGGTGACCGATCGCTGATTTTATCTCATTTTTTATGGACGCAATTTTCCCGTACGTGATTGAGTCGTTGGACCTGTTCCTGATTCGTTGTAATGAGAAGGAGTAGATATCGAAAAGGGTTTGTATGATTTTGTTATTATTTTTGTAAAATATTTTTTGTGTATTCCTATAAAAAGAACTTGGATGTGTAGATCTTGCGATTACGAACCTGGTGGAAATTTTTCTCATTAGAGACGGATTATGACGGCTATTGGGTTTTAAAAAAGGAAAGTTTCTTTAACGACGCCAATGTTTTCGTTTCTCTTGCCGACGTCATCACCAAGGATCCAATTCTTAAAACATTTATTTATGAACGTGTTTCTGTAAAATTACATACTTAATCAATTTCAAATCATAGCATACGCCTTGATTAATGCTGTTTGTATAAAAATAAAAAAATACTAGGTGACTGTTCCTCCTAGCAGAAGCTGTTGGATCATACAAAAAGAGTTTAGTAAGTTCATCGACAATCGGAAATGAAAATCTTACACATTTCATTGCTTTATTTTGCAACTTTTATCGTTCGAAAAATCAAAACGCATTCGCATGAATAAGGTTAAAAACAGTTTCTTTCTCCTAAGAGCAGCCCTAGTGAAATTTCTTGTTTTTTCTTGGTTAACAAGAGTTTTATTTCTAAATAGGTTTCTTTTTATATTAGTCGTTCTTTATGTTGTTTTAGTTCGAGGGTTTATTCCTGGAAGGCGTTATGATATTTTGATAAATATTTGTTGAAAGTATTTATTTATAGCGCTAAGTATTTTATTTTTAAAGGTGTTCATTTTATAATGTGATTGAATAAATATATTTATTTAGTTAAGATGCTAAATTCTTTTTCATCTGATCCTGCGAGGCCTACTAATTAACGATACAAGTTTATAGAATTATTGTAAAATTTTTTTTATCTATTATTATTTTTTGTGATTTTTAATTTTGGATTATTAGGTTACCATTATTAAGTATAAAATAGTATACGGGAGATGAACTTATAGGTATTATAATTCTATTATAATTATAGAATAATACTGTAATGTTAGGTTATATAATATAAGTGTATTATAGGCTTTATATGTAGCTTTATATTACATTGAATGTAATTTAAAAACTTTTAGATGGAAACCAAACGTAATTATACTTTTAAATTAAACATAAATCTTACTTAACTCACTAGAAGAATGAAAAGATAAGGGAGTGTTTAAACTTCATTCTTGATCTCAATAACCACTTAGATTTATTAAAACTACACGTTTTTCAACAAAAGCCAACCAAATAATAAATAAAATATAAATTATAGACATAAAAGAAATAAAACCACCCAAAGAAGAAATAACATTTCAAAATAACATTCTATCAGCGTAATCGCTATAACGACGAGGTATACTAACTAATCCTAAAAAATGTTGAGGAAAAAAGTTAAATTACCAGCAAAAAACATAATAATAAATTGAACTAACAAATATTTAGAAGATAATATAAAGCTAAAAGGTTTTCTGGACACCCTCTGCAGATCCAAAGGGGACTGGAAGTATTTCTGATCGATTCACTATGATAGATTATCTATGCTCGGTAAGTTTCGTTATCCGCAGACGTTTTTTATATTATCACACTTCACTGCTGTCTGGCGACATCTATCTCCGGCCTACAGAAAAGGCTTGCTTAGCTTTTTTTCTCTCTGCATCAGCAGATACTTCGGATCATCTCTCTGAATATTTTCTCTCGTGGATAAAAAGAAATTTTTTATACTTCTCGCTATCATTGGCTTATCCATGGAATATCTGACAGCCATTTTTCCGTATTTTGCGCACAGACACACAGACAGTGTTTCTGACATTACACGTACGCCTTTGTTCCAAAGCGTACGGTTAACCGTTATGGCCCATACAAAAAATTAGAGCCAAGAGTCGGGCCTGTTTCTCAAAGAAACTTAAGTTTTACTTAAGTAAAACATCTCACTTAACCCCCCCCATAATAGAAGACCACCTGGTCTTTTATTTTGTCTCTCAAGTCAAGTTCTAAAGGCTGGTCTTCTGTTGCGGTCAAATTTTGTCGCCTGCTAGTAGTCCAACGGTAACCTCACGTACTTGAAGTCGGTCCCCTACTAGAAGTACTTTTTGGCGAAATTTTTTTGAAAATTCCCCTATAGGGAGGGCATTTTCCGATTTTTTTCGCGGACATAATAGAAGACCATGGTCTTCTATTTGGCTTTCAAGTCATATAATCGGCAGTGGTCTTCTATTATAGGGGGAGTTTACGTGAAATTTTTTCTCTAAGTGCGTTTGTCAAGAAAAATTAAGTGTAGTTTCCCACGTAAATTTCCCCTTAACTTAAGGTGAAAAAGCTCCATGTTTTATTGTATTATCAGAAAAAAATGCTTTTGTCAGCATTTTTGTGTGAAACTCCAACAGAAAACAAACTATTGGAAGGGATTAAGAATTTTAGAAGTACAAGAAATGCTAGAAACTAAAGTTCGTAATATGAAAAAAATAGTGCTCTTGTTCTTTTTCATTATCTGGTTATTTTCACGCTAGCAAAGAAATTTGTGCCAAAATGAATGTACAATGTCGAACTGAAGATTTCTAGTTAGAAGCTGGGTTTTTCTCTAATCTTTTTCCTTATTTTTCACCCTGGTCAATCCAATCAACCCTACCGTCACCTAATCCATTGCTCAAATCCCTTCAAATCATTCTGCTTTAGTAAATAAATATGTCAGATTAATGTATTTATTTTCACTTAAGTAGAAATTTCGACTTTACGGTAAGTCGTGCTTAAGTTACCTTTCGAGAAACCCACTTGAGTCAAATCTTAAGTTTCACTTAAGTGGGATACTTAAATTTTTTTGAGAAACAGACTCTCAGAGCCAGAGCCATTTTTTTATTAGAAGATAACTTATCTTCTAATATCTTAGATAACGCATATTTTTTACAACGATTCGTAGAAAATGGTACAGCGATCTATAGAAAAATGACTCATTGGCTCCTGGCTCTAACTTGTTGTATGGGCCACCGTTATGCGTAGCTTCTCCTCACCGTTTAAACTGAGTTGTTTAAAGTAGGTTAACAAACCGAGCGCCGTATAAACAAGGCTTAAGATTCTTTCTTGTTAGTCATGGTGGAACGTTAGTTTAGAATTTTAGGTTAGCTTGTTGTGGCATGGTGTTAATATTTAAGCTGTAATTAAGGCTAAATTTTATATTTTCCACCCGAATCACATGAAAAATATTGTATAGCATTAATGAATGAATTAATATGTTTAAAAACAATATGAAGATATTCTATAGAATATCTTAGTGATAAACAAATTATAGATATGAGATAATAATAGTGCAAATGATATAAAAATGGATGGATTATGTCAAACGGAAAATAGAAGCTTTCTCTATTCTTCTTCTACTTCTTCTTAAATAGAAGCTCTAACATAGATTGAATTTCTTTTAGATATATTTCTATTATTATGATCGTGTTACGTGTTAATATTCTAAACTATTCATGTCTCAAAACAACACCATTAGTGTTATTGAATAGAATGAAATCAAATAATACAGAACAAATAATAACGCCACTAAATGGAAATGATAATAACAAATTTGGATTAAATAATATTCATTTAGAAAGTTTACAGTTACCTGAAGAATTATCACTCCATGCCAGTAAACTTCTTCCATATTTAGTAGAGTATATATCAAAAATTAATTTTGGATACATGAAACATATTACAGGTACTTCGGCTTAAAACAATTCATTCTCTTTTGAACGAACATCTTCAAAAGAGATTTCATGTAACACATTTCATTTACTTATTGTCTTTAATTTAACATTACACGTTCTAGGTTTAGTTGATAAATATTCCAATGAAAAAGCAACATTAATCGAAAAATATTCCAATGAAAGAACAACATTAATCGAAAAATATACTAAACAAATCGATTCATATATATTTGAAATTAAATCGTTAAATGCTTCAAGATTAATGTTAAAAAATCAATATAATCTTCGTGGTGCTTTAGAATTTATAAGATCATGTATACAAAGTAGGAATGCAAAACAATTAAATTTTCAAGAACCAGTGGATAAAACATTAACGTTATTAACAAAAGATTTAACTTTTATCAATGAATTAACATTATCGGTGAACAGAAAAAAGAACAGTTTACGTTTACAAGATGTAGAAAAGTGTTTAGCAAGTCTCTATCATAGGTTATCTCAACTTTGGTCGAAACTAAAAATGTCGAAAGAAAAAATAGCGAGAAGAATAATGTTCGGGAAAAAATGATACAAATGTCGAAAGGTAAAAACATCGCAAGGTAAAAATGTCGAAGAATAAAAACGTCGAAAGATAAAAATGTCGATAGATAGTTTAGCATGGTTTTTTTAATTGAG